AATCTGCAAAGATGAAATTCTAAAATCTGTAATGAGTTAGAAATTTGTAACTCCTTCACTTGCAAAACCCATCAACCAGGGGAACCTAACACAAACACACTCAACGAAAACAACTCTACACAGATCGACGTACAGGGAAAGCTCAACCAGACAACAATATAACTATAAACAATGTTAATCTCACAAACAAAAATTAAAATACAAAATATGCAGTAAGCCAGTAACCTACATTAACCATTCAAACAAAAAAGAAAACACAAAATCTGTCAAAAAAACAAAAACAAACACACAAAATTAGGGGTTAGGGATTCATTACCAGCTGACGAGGATGAGTGACGGCGACTGGCGACTGTGGTACTGGGAATGGGAATGACTGACAAGTGACAAACTTACGATTAATCGAAAAGGGAGACACCGAGACAGGGAGTTGAACTTCAGGCACGAAGAAGAGTTTGAGAGCTGAGATGCGGCCGAGATAGAGTTACTGAGAGTGAGAGATCAGAGATGAGATGAGAGTGAGAGATCAGAGATGAGATGAGATGAGAGTGAGAGGCGTGAATGCGTGATAAAATTAGGGGTTACTGGGTTAGGGATTCATTAGTGAGTAGTATACTGAATAGTGACTAGCAAATACGGGTACCCGCGGGTTCACCTGTATAAACCGTGAGTTATTGGACAGGGTACGAGTACGGGTCTCAAAAAAATGGGTTTAATATATTGGACCCGTACCCTATATTTTTTACCTGGGTACAGGCCGACCCACGGGTCCAAACCCGTTTTGCCAGGTCTAGTTAACATATTTGGGAAACCAGATTAAAGAACAAAACTTCACAGTTCACATGCAACATGGTACTTCTCTGATTAACTTCCTACTGTCTTGTCATACTTTGGCTGGAGGTGGTGCTACTACAAAGTTTAATATAGGAGTTATATACTGTATGAGAAGGCAGAATTTCATCTCTTTTTTGTATATGAAATTGAATTTTCATAGATAACCTGCACTACTATTTGTAGAAAGCTTTAACTGAGAGAGGCAATAGTTGTGTAAAGTAGACAGATATCTAGATTTTAGATGATTTAAGTAGAATGTAAAGATTTGTAACTTATCAATGTTGCATCACAGAAGGTCTTGATGGGATATTTTTATCGGTTATCTAATCTTATTTTATTTGTGTTTGCATATGCTATTTAGGCATTAGCCCTCCACATGATTGCGAGTTGTGACTAGTAAGATAGTTTACGTTACAATAGAATATCACGTTATTTTTATTTATTTTTTATGATCGGAGTTTTCAGACCTGTGCACTTTAACTAATCTTTCAAAACCCTGAAATTATCAACACGATAAGAGCTCTAATAGCTACACCTAGTAGCAACCGAAAATCAATTCGAACTCAAGACCTCTTACCTAGGGTTAGTTATATCAAGTTATTATTAGGGGTGAGCAGTTCCGGGTACCCTACATTTTTCGAGGGAACCGGAACCAAAACCGCACAATGCAGGTTCCCAAAAAAAGGAACCGAAACTAGAACCTGTTGGTTTCGGTTCTTAAATTCAAGGAACCGAAACTTGAAATGCATGTTCCGGTTCCTTACCTAGATACCCTATAAAAAACCAATTACCCCCCTATTAGTTTAAAAGATGACAAAAATACCTTAAAAGTTTACAAATACACCCCTGACAAATTAAGAAAACCTACATTTAGTAGTTTTCAACTTTTGATTACTCATTCATTTGTGTCCAATGTGACTCATAAATCATTTAATCTTTATGCAACACTTGAATTCAATCAATTCATCACAATTCGCATAAAATTTCTCAATCAAAACCAAAACACAAACAGGTTCCAAGTCGGGTACCCGCTTCAGGTTCTTTTCCCAGGTTCCAATTTCGGTTTTAAAACTTGTAGGAACCAGAACCAAAATCGCACAGTGTTAGTTCCAATAAAATGGAGCCAGAATCTACCCGCATAGGATCGGTTCCAAGTAGGTTCTGGTTTCGATTTTGATTCTACCCGTTACCCATGCTCACCCCTAGTTATTATTGAATACGCCAATAATTTCATGATACAATGCAGATATTTAAAACAAAACAAAAAATCATCAATTGTATTGATTTTAAGTGAATAAGAAAGGCAATAATTCTTCTATAGAGAAATTTTTGATAAATCATAAAATATTAAAATACTAGAAATTAATCATTTAAATTTTTAATCAAACAACTTTTTGTTTTTCAAATTTATTAAATAATTAATATATGACTCTGGCCTCACGCTAGAAGTGGGCCTGTAAAGTAAAACCCTAGCCCAATATCTGGATTCCTGGAACCCTATATAATGGCAGCTCCGCCAAAACCCTAGCTAGGATCTTTCTTCTACACATTATGCCTCACCCACGTTCACTGTCACTCTTCTTACAATTTGTAATTCTTTTGCATATTTTCTAACTTCTATTATGTTTAAGCTTGTGGGCTATGATTACAAAGAGAGAGGCTTGAGTGGGATCATAACTTTTACAAAATCGAAGAACCCTAATCGAATTTGCTGGAGAAATGGAAACATAATTTTCCCATTTTCGATCAGGGTTTATCCACAATGACAGATGTGTATTTCTTTTACACTTGATATGAGCCCCTTTGATCAGTTTTTGTTTTCTGTTTTGTGGGTGTTTGTTTGTTTTAGCATTTGTTGTGTGTTTTTTGTGAGAAAGCATTTTTTGCTTCTGTTTTCTTACTTGACAACAGTGCAATAGAGAAAGTCTAGTCATTACTTTGTTTTCTGGAGACAAATTTTTCATAAATCTGTTTTCTGGAAATAAAAGTGTGTGATTAGGCAGCGGCCAGACAACCGTAGAGATGGTATCCACAGATGATTGGGTTAATTAATCCCGCTTGTCTACTGATTCCATCTCACATTTATCTTATTGTTCAATTCTTCATTCGTTTTCAAAGTACGAAGGGCGGAAGGGCTATAATATCTGTGCTAATTTTAATCGTGGAAAACTTCTGCCATATAATGTGAGATGATTTTATCTGTATAATCATTAATAAATTGCATATATTTGTTAATTGGTAAATTTTTTTAGACGATTTTATTAAGTACGCCTGAAACTTTTTAGATTCTGTGATGGACTTTACAGAGATCCATAAAGAATTGCCCCGGACCTTACAGAAATTTATGAAGAACTACTGCCCCTACTATTTTAAACGATTTAGTATACATGTAACCAGTTGGTGGTAAACCATAAAAAATCTGCCCTGATGTTTAGTTACTGAATGGGCTGGATATTGTTAGAAGGTTTTAATTGATTTGATATGAAAATTTTGAGTTGTTTAAGGACTGAGCTCAATATATTTTACAAGGGACTGAACTCTATGTTTGATTTATGAGGATGGTGAAGTTATGGATATGGATGCAACTCAAGTGTTTGATGATTTGCCCGAAGGACTTATTCAACAATTGCCAAATATATAAAAAGTCAGGAATATATTCTTATTCACCATATGTGTTTCAGTACTTAAATGCCCAAATTGCAGAGAATCTATCCTTTGAATTACTGCGAGTCAAAATTCCAACTGTAAACACTCTTCAATATGTTTGAAATAAGGTCTAAAGAAGCTGCATAAAGAATTTAATGTGTTTGTTTTATTATTTTGAGTAGTTATTTTGAAATATTATTGTTAAGTTGAGTTGGTTTATTATTAGAAGGTAGGATTTGAAAATAAAAAAAAAATCTTTAGATTTGTTAATTTAGCTAAACACCCATAATAATAAAAAGTTTATAAATTAATAAAAACATTCTTACTCTACCACAGTTGTCAAATTTCGGCCACCACCATCGGAATCTGGTCAGAATCTTGTTTTATTGTACACGACCGGTCAGATCTGGTCAGTCGTGCATCGCTATGGCCTTTTTTGGTCAGATCCACTACGGATTTGGTTGTTGATGGCCAGATCTGGCCACATCTAGCTGCCAGTGACTGCCAAAGATATGGTCGTCATTGATGGTCAGATGTGGCCAAAGGTCTGGCCGTCAACGACCAGATCTTTAGCCGTGGATCTGGTCTTTTTCGGTCAAATCCACAAAAATCTAACCGAAAAAGGCTAGATCGACGCACTATCGATCAGATCCAGTCGATAATGTTCCATTACACTTGATTCCAATCACCTTCTAACTGTGGTTGCCAGAATCTGACAAATATGGATGGGTGCCTTGGTGGGGGTGTTTTTATTAATTTATAAAACTTTTTTGTTGGGGGTGTTTAATTATATTAACAAACCTATGAGGGTTTTAAATAATTGAATATTATAGGATATGATTTTGAGAATAAGAAAACAAACATGCATTTTTATTCAGAATAAGAATAGAGTATTTTGAATAGTCAAACAAATGTAGCAAAATGACCATTTCTACTTCTGGTTAGCAAGAAAATCCTATAAGCCTATTTTTTCTTTTTTTCCCGATCATCAAAGTGTTTGGGTTAACTTATACGTTTTTAACTAATTCTTCATAGCATTGAAAATCTAACCGATAATCCTCTAATGACTACTTCTATTAGCTTTAGCGCTTAAAGAGATTTGAAGTCTGAAAAAGATTCTTTTTTTCTTTTACCATTGATGGCTCTTATGAGCCTATTTGCCTACCAGTTTCGCATCAGTAAAAAAGAAATTATCAAAATGCACGGTCCCAGAATATATGTTCTTGGCCGATCATTCAAATTGAAATCTTTTTGGAAAAATGAAAAGCATGAGTACATTTCTCTGCGTCATGTTACCCTTTTCACATTGAAATCCAATGAACCCGATTCAATTTTTGGCGGGTCGAATTGAAATATTGAATCATCGTATTCATTAACCAAATATGATAATAAATCATTTAGTCAATTACAATTTATGAATCAGTTGGTTAAAAAATAATGTAGGGAAAAGGTAATTAAACTCTGGATCACAATAGGCCTCAACTGGGCAATCACACATTCTTGAAACAACATATAAAAGATTAATGTAAATTATATATTATATAACCAAAGTCTATATAGTAACAGTAAGCAAAGCTGCGGGCACTATAATTTTGAAGCCACTTCAGCTTTTTTACATTTCATTTTACCCTTTTACTTTTAACCAAAAACAAAATCACCTCCCACCCAACCTTTAAAGTCCAAAAGTTCACACGCACAGTTTCCCTCATTTTCCCTCTCACTTTCCGAGAAAAACAAAAGAAAAAGAAAAAACTTGAAGTGGGAATAGTAACCCTTGAAATTTTTAGAGTTTAGACCCTGAAATTCTTTCCTGTGAAAGTTTGACCAAATTGCCAATTTGCTGGGACAATGTTCCATGACGTGGAAGTACGACGGTCACTGCCTGTCACCCTGAACGAAAGTGACTGACCAACCAAAACTGCGTTTGATTGCCAATTCTGTCCCCAGTTTCTGCTCAAACTCATCCACCCAGTCTTTGATCCCTTCACACTAGCCTTTACAATATCCCCTGCACCAGCGACGTTGGTGATCAAAACCAAGTTGAAGTAACGGAAGCCGTTGACTGTGAATCTGATACCTCCTTGCTTACGGCAAGGAACCCTGATTTATAAAACAAAACAAAAAAGTTCATTAACAAAATTATTAAAAACAAAAAAAATCTGAGAGGGCATTTTAGGAATTTAAAATTTATGCGGAATCGGCGGTGTTAAAAGAAAAGTGATTCGGTTTGTCTAGAGAACAGTAAGATTTACGCGGGAAGGAGTTGGGTTAAGGGCCCACAAAAAGGGGTTGATTTGTCAAGGCAAGATGTGGTCCAAACGTGAAAATATGTGTAAAGTGGAAATGATGGTGAGTGAGTAAAGCAGCGGACGGCTCTGATCTGCTGAACCGTGTATAATCATTAATACTGTTTTCTGATTTTGTGTTCAGAAAACCGAAACAGAACAAAGTGGAAACAGAAGCACAAAAAAAAGTCAAAAATTGGAAACCTTGAGGCTCCAATCATGGTTATTTCAACACCCAATCAAATGACTTTTAACTCCTCACAAAAAAATCAATTAAATGTGTTGAATAAGTTTACCGAAAAGGCCATATTTTAACTGCAAAGACGTGAAATATTGATAGCGCTCTGTTTTGGGTTACCTTCGATAAGAGACGGGAACTATTCCTGCACGGTACTCGGCGATTTTGAGGAACATGGGCATGGCGAGATCGAAGTGAGGGCGAGGGGGGTTGCACCATCCTCCATTGTCGCTGGGTTGAGCGAAATTCGGAGGGCAAAAGTTGGTGGCTGTAATGAAGATTGAAGGGCTACCAGCATGGCACCATTGTGGCTCATCTGCGCACTTTAGCTCGAAACATGCTCCGCAACTTAACCCATTGTTGAACAGCGCCGTGCTTAGTGCTGCAGTGTTCACGCCGTAGCCTTGACTGTATAAGTTTCCATACCCACAAGCGCCTCCTGTAGTTAATCAACAAACAATACACATGCTTAAAATTCTTTGAACAGAAGAAATTAAAAATTGAAATGGTATAGAAGTTTTGGTGAAATGTGAAGTACCCATTGTTCCGGAGGCATCACTGCCACCATAGAAAGTGGCATGAGCGGTTTGCCATGCAGCACCAGTGTAAACTCCTGGGATTCTTGCATCAACAATGCTCGAAAACATAACAAAAGAGACCACAAAAAGACTACCCAGAAGGGCCATTTGGTTTAACTTTGACTAAAGACTTAAAGGGTACTGCAAACAGAGTAAGAGATGAGAGAAATTTTAGGTGAGTGGGGTGTGAGGAGAAGGCAAAGAGTGGACTGGTATTTATGGAGGTGAGTGAGAAACATTGTCAAAAAAGTGAAATCTCAAAGGACAAAATAATCACCCTTAATTAGTGCTGTTTTGGGTCTTAATTGAAAAGTTTAATACGGCTTCTCTCTCACCTTGCTTTGGCGGTAACACAATTGAATACTTTTTACATAATTGACGAAAATGCCATTGAGTTTTGACCATTTTGGTGAATGGAATAATGGTGGGGTTGAGGGAAAAGGCAAGGGTAAGAAGTGGAATGATATGCTTAGCCGGACATAAAAAAAAAAAAAAGAGGATATCTGAAAAGATTTTTAAGGCTGATAATATGAAACCGCTTTGCTTTAATCCCAAGTTGTGGCATCAATTACAGTTTTTTGTGTCTCAAGAATATTGTTTCTGTTTTCTTTTCAAATCATGGACTCCGGAAAGTTAGGTTTCAAATAACCAACCTGGAGGTAGTCAAGCGGTTAATTAAGATTCTTTGATGTATTATTCAAAAGGTTTTGAGTTCGATTTGTTTCAGTTGCTAATAAGGGTGATAATTGAAGGATTATCGAATCGTTAACTTCAGAGTCTCGAAAGATTAGTTGAAACGCGTACAAACTAACCCGAACGTACGTAAATTGATTTAGACACCCAATTACCCAAAAAAAAAAAAAAAAAAAAGTTAGGCTTCAAATGGAGGGAATTGTGGGGGCTACTAAATTGTAAGCGTTATCTGCATGGCTTGTATTAACAACTATTGTTTATTTTATAAATTTTATGAATTTAAATCCAATCTAACTCCTCTTAAAAAAAAAAAAAAAATTGGAATTGTCAAACATGAGCAGTCAATGAGAGGCAAATATTTCTACTTAAATTAGCCATTTTCTTCATAAATTAGCCAATAGCCATTCTAGAAGTGGAAAGTCGTGAGAAAGTCTCGGACGAAACAATTTACCCACAAATTAATCTACAAATTTCGGCGTGGGCCGCGAATCCGCAATTGGCGGTCCACGTATTACGCCGTGCATTAGCCGTACGATTTAGTGGACTCCTCCTGGCTATTAAAGCTCTTCAAGTTCAAGGTCAAGCATTCTCATCTGTAATTTACGCTTTAGTCTTTATTCAGACTATGGACTCGAGGCTCTATGAGATAAAAATAAAATAAAGGAGTTTAATTATCTTATTATTTGATCAATCCCATGTGATTAGTTTAATTTAGTGGAAATTAAGCATAAGGTTTAGAAAATTTGACTTAAATAAAGCATTAGGAATTGACAATTTTAGTTATTAGGTTTAATTCATTGACTTTGTTTTTCTTCCTTCTCTTAATTCCAGCTAGCATTTGTTATGTTATAGATGATTTAGGGGATAATCAAAGGGCAGAAAACAGTTAGGAAGGCGTCTTTTTCTTTGACAGATTTAGAATTAAAACAGAGATGGGTAAGTGTAAAATCCACCAAACAAATCCAGTAAATCCACCACGTCATCGCAAAAATAATTAAACTGTGCTGTGGTTCAACAACCCTTTCCTATGAAGCACCTAGATCCATGTGAATTCCTCACCAATACAACATACATTAATGTGTCCATCTCTAATCTTGTTGAAATGTCTTTCACATTTACTACATTTTTTAATCACCTATTATTTTTTATTCGTTTTTAAGAAGGCAAAGTTCACTATTAATTGGAACACAAGAGGATGTGACAATTGACAACATTTAAATTTGATTGATATAATATATGATCGGTGAGAATGTATATAAGTATGAAGTGAGTTGTAGTCAACTCATGTATATAACTTAAAATTATCTTAGGATAATACTACACTTATAACCAGTAGCGGATCCAGAAAATTTTTTTAGGGTGGACCAAAATCCAAAAATTATATATATTAGTATTTAAAAAATAAATAAATGGCCCACCCAAAAATGGGTTGGATTTGCCCCTGCTTACAACCCAATCTCACAAACTTTTTCTCACGACTCCGATATGATAACTCACAATGGGTCTCACTTGCCTAATCATGAGCTGACCAATTGCGTCATATTCAGGTTATGAGAGAAAATTTGTAATATTGAATTGAGAACCAATCTTTATTAATTATCTTATGAATATATTTATTGACATAATATTATATTATAATTGTCACTCCAAATTGTAATGTCAACATTTCATTTAGGGACGGATTTAGAAATTTCTATTAGGGTGGGCCAAATTAAAAACTAATTGTATATTAAAAATTTTGTCTATTAATTTTTCTATTAGGGTGGGCCAAAATAAAAAATTGTACATATTAATATTTAAAAAAAATAAATATGGCCCACCTCAACTAAAGTAACATTCGCCCCTGATTTAAGTAATTCTACCTAAATCAGTGTTGTTTTTCTAGTCACATGATTTAAATTTTTTTCTTTTAAGACCAAGGGTGTCCAGCCAGCTTACACGTACCCCAATCAATCTCCTAGGACCCTAGAACTACCAGCCATGTAAGAGTTACAGTGATTACCCCTATTAACAATTTAAGAGAGACTCGAACTCAGAACCTTTTGAGTATTTCTATCAATAATCAAACCACTCGGCCATACAGAAATAGTTAAAAAAAAAAATTAACCAGAGACTAACGTGGGGATTTAATATGAAATGAAAATTGTGAACAAGAAGAGATTGTGAGATGATGATGGATGTTGAAAGAAGTAATGATAATTTGTGTTTCATGTAAATAGATACTATATTTGAAGTAGAGTATACGATAAGTATAAGATTATTAGTTATACTACAAAGAAAAGTCGGGAAGAAATTCCAGCAAAGTTTTGGTATAATTACTTCCTTCAATCAACTCAATGCGTTTTGGTATAAGTATCTCTTAAATTACCCATAAATTAAGTTTAAATGTCTATAACTAAATCATTGAGAAGAACCTTCACTACTTTTGTACAAAGCCACAATAATATTATTGTCTATGGAGCCACCAAAATTTCGTTATTCCTTTACCAGAATTTGGCATTTAATTTCTGGGTTTTTGATTTGAAACTTTGCCTTATCTTTACTAGACCAAATTGTTGGAGCAAGGGACCATTTACCTAGTTGTGTCTCCTTTCTTTAGATTAATAAGTGAAAACACAAGTAGAATTTTGCATTGAGCTTTACGCAATCCCCAAAAAAAGGGAGGGGTTCCAAGTCTCTCGAGGAAGCAAATTTGGAATCATATCTTCTCAATTTAAGGCCCGTATCAGGATCACTCTGCCCCTTTCTTTTTCATGATTCCTAACCACATCAATTAACTAACCCATATAACATCTGAAAGGGCCAAAAGAATTAGGGATTGGGGCCTTTTCTAAAGCCGAAGTTTGATTCTTTAATATTGTCCTTATGACCAAATCTACTCTTGTTATCATTCTATATCTTCCTTTCTTTTCTGCTGCAATTCTTATTTAATGGGGCCACATTGTTTTCCATGTGACAAATTGTTGCCTAAGCGACTCAATTTTAGCTCTATTGATTGCTAAAGAAGTACCATTTATTGGTCAGCTTAGCCCAAAATAATTAAAAGATTTTTATAAATGGACATGGACCATTTGATTTGAAATCCTGCTTCATCACAAAAATTAAAGCTATTTCCGTCTAATAAAATGGTATTTATTTGTCTAAAATGTATAATTTATACTCGTTTTCATATGTTACATTCAACATCAGATAAACATGAGTTAAGTTTTGGGTTAAATAAGAGTGGATAAGTAATATCACCTAATAAGCTAATATTTTAGGTAATTGATAAACGTTTAAGATAAGTTAGAACAAAATGTAATGTCAAATGTAGGGTCCCTTAAAAACCCGACTAAGGGGTTAGGTCATATTCTTATAAAGGTAGACTTTCTTTTTACTTATGGATGTGGCAAACCTAATCATGTCCAGCATGGTTTAACGAAGTATAAATAGGACAACATTTATATGCATTACATACATGGTCACATTAATTTTTGACTCTCATTGGTGATTGGACTAACTAACTTCAATAATGAGGGCAATAAATTAAATTAAACAAGGAACTAACCTTTCAACATCAGCCATCGCCTAAAGGGACAAAAAGATTCGTTTTCATCAAACAATATATATATATATATATATATATATATATATGAAGGGAAATATTTAATTTCTTTCCGTCAAATTATTTGAAATCAACCCACATGAATTAATTTCACATTTATTTTCCTGTGAAATTTCAATTTAATGATTATGGGCCACATTATCGCATGTGACAAATTGAAGCCTAAGCTATTTATTATACTATGAACAGGGGTTCGCTTGTGTGGTAAAAGCTCGAGCTTGGCTCGGTTACAGTGTCAAGCCGAGTTCGAGCTTGTCAGATCTTGACTCGACTCAAGCTTAAACTTGAAAAGTTCGATTGAAAAAGCAAAAAAAATGAAGAATTTAAGAGTTTTTTTTTTTATGAGCTCGAGCTCAAACTCAAATTTTTAGTCTCGAGCTTGATACTGTAGCAATCGAGCCAAGCTCGATTAATAAAGCCCAAAACTTAGCTCAACTCGATTCGTTTGCACCCCTAACTATGAATGATAAGTACTTCATTTCTACTTAAAGAATTAAGTAACTTAGTAGAATTTTACCATTTGTTACATTATCAACCCATCGACTTAAATTAAACTATTAATATTATCAGATCAATAAAATAATAGTGACTCCAGTATACATAGTACCTAGGCGGAGATTTTTGGGAATAAAAAAAGAAAAATAATTTTAAATATACATTTCTCAATATTTAATTTAAACACAAGGAACAGCCCTCGTGGTTCTTATTATTCAATAATGTATTGTATTGTATTGTAGTATTATTTAATATTTTGGTGACATTATTGCTTCATATACTATCTTGGGTGGCTTTATAATTTTATATACATGTATAATTGTTGAGAAGATTGATTACCATGAATGATTAGAAATAATCAAGCTTTATCAGTTTTTATATTTGATTATATTAA